AAAAAGATTTTGTAGACGTCGGCGTCCCCACACCCCTGTATACTACGGATGTAAGGCCTTTTTTAGACTATCGTACGCCACCACTTCCTTCTCCACCAATCCAGTCCCTATCACGTGCGATTATGAATCAGAGGATAAGCAAACTACTGGAGTATGTACTTCATTCAATCCAGTACAATCTAGAGCTCACTGTGTCTCAGCTAGCTCACAACACACAGTTCTCAGTTACAGTGACGAGGAAACAAACATTACCCATCACTTTCATACCAATTTAACAATGTCTTTCAAATCTGTCGTCCTTAACATTCGTTCCCTTTTACCCAAATTAGATCTACTTTCAGCACTTATGTGTATGAGATCCCTCGATATTGCTTTTATCACTGAAACTTGGTGCAAGTCAGAAATTAGTGCTTCTCAGCTTAACATCTAAGGCTCTAAGCATTTCCGCAAGGATCGTTCACACAAACGTGGTGGTGGCTGTGCCATATATCTTCGAAATAACCTGACCGCAATTCTCGCAGGTTAACCTGTGTTCAATGGCTTAGCAGATACACTATGACTAGTGATCCCATCGATTGATCTTCTAGTGGGTTGTATCTACGGCCGCCCCGAACTACTCAATGTGCAACTCAAAAGCTAATCGATATGATCAATGTTGCTTCCAGCACCACATACAAATCAAAAATTATGTGTGGAGATTTCAACCTACCACATGTTAACTGGATGCTACCTACACTCAGAAACACTGCGGAGATTGAGGAAATCATCTCATGTATTCACCTCAATGACTGGACCCAGCATGTTAAAGAGCCAATCAGAAGTGCCAGTACCTTAGACCTTGTATTCACGATGGGAATCTCTTACACTTATACATTCACTGATAATCCACTACCTGGCTGTGATCGCAACATGGTGCTTTGTGAAATGACTATAGATTCAACTAAACGACCAAGTAAAATGCTAAAACCCATTCGAAACCTCCATCATATGGACTGGAACTCATTTAACGAACTCCTTTAACGAACGTTTAACGAACTTATCAGTACCATGAATTAGAATGCGTCTTTCCGAACTCACAGCCCTACTGTGGCTACAAATGAGTTTATGAACAATATTGCCCTTGTTGTGGATGTACTGGCACCTACAGTATGGAGAAATACCCATGAACATAGTGGTGAACTCAAGCTTCTGTACAAAGCGAAAATCAAACTAAAGAAACCCAAATCGCGATATCGCAGGAGCAACAGCTTCGCAAACTTGCTATAATTACACGAGAATTTACTATAATTACAAAGTCTAACCCAAACGGCCAAAGAAGAAATCGGGTACTCAGAAATCCAGAGAAAGTACGTACTTTGATGAACCACTCAAAAGAAGGAACCCTAAACCATTTCAGGAAATTGAAACGTTGGTTGAAACGTTGGTTCAATAACGCGCGACAGCTCTTGCATATGCGAGGCTATGATGTATGTATGTATGTAATCTCAACAGCCTAGCAACTAGACATAGAGCCAACAAAGTCATGGAGATTATCTGATAAGGGGAACTCACTGTGTCATAATCATCGTGGCATGCTAGTTGAAGGTGAGCAACACACTTCAACCAATATGCTGTAGGAAGAATGGAACATTTTGACCAAAAGTAGAACAAAACATCTTTAGTTTATTTCTCACACATCGCTTTTGCTCTTTTTTGTCGTTTTAATGTTTGTAGTATTAAACATGTGAATCAATACAATACTGTACACAATTCTTCCACTGATTCCAGTTGCGGGCCATGTCTTTAAGAGTGCTAAGCCATTGGCACTCCTCATCTCTCTGTCCCCATCCTGGAAGACCCACGGATCCAAGAGCGGCTAGGTACGACGTCAGCGATTTCATGTGCTGCCGCCATGTGGAAGGCTGACCACCACGCGGTCGCTTCCAGCCAGGTCCTTGACGAGCGAATAGAGCGCGACGCGGTAGACACTCAGGTGCCTTGCGTAGGACGTGACCGAGCCATCTTAACTGGCGCAACAAAACCAGATTGTTGAAGGAAATACTCGCATTCTTCAAGATGCGACGTCGAACACCATTACTATTAACGCGATGTTGCCACCAAACTCGAGTGATCCTCCTTAAGCAACCGGCATCAAAGGCAGAAAGAGGACGCATGTCTTTCACGCGAATCGGCCAGGACTCGCACCCATACAACAATACTGAGCGAACTGATGCTCCATAAACGTGGCGCTTTAGTGAGAATGAGACGTCGCGACGACGCCACAAGTGCCTCAGATTGACAAATGCTGATCGAGCTTTAGCGATACGAAGAGAAACTTCTTTGTTGATAGTGCCGTCAGCAGAAACACAGCTCCCAATGTAGGCGAAACAATCTACCTGTTCAAGTTGTGCACCTTCGAGAGGCTATGAACTCTAGTTTTGCCTCCTGTTTTGTCCCCAACACCCAGCCATTTTATCCTCCACTTCCAAAAAGAACGACCGAACTATACTGCAATACCCCTTTGACGTTAAGAGAGCTACAAATTGCCATCGCCTGCATAAAACCATCAACTCGTCTAGGTCCAGATGGCATCTCCCTAACTGTTATAAAACTTGGAGGCAAAAGGCCTCGTTCTATTGTTATCAAAAATCTTGACAATTTCGCTCACTACCGGCTGCTTTCCAACGCAATGGAAGCAATCCATTATAAGACCTAAGCACAAGGGTGGCCAGGGAGAAATTAAGTGTCAATCTACCGCCCAATAAATCACACCTCTGCTGCTTCCAAAGCTCTAGAGCGAATTGTCAAGAAGAACATTGTTCAATATCTTACAAGACTAGATCTGATCAACCCCTCACAGTATGGCTTTCTCTAAAATGCTTCTGCGTTAAATGCCAGCCACAATTTTTTGATCTCGTCACAACTATGTTTGACAGAGGAATGGCAATTAGTATAATTCTGTTGGACATGAAAAAGGCGTTCGACCGCGTGCCGCACAAGCCACTGCTGTCTGCTCTAGAGTCATATGGAATTGGAAACCCTCTGTTTACTGGTTTGACTCAGGTAGTTTGAACTCAGGTAGTTAAAATGGGTCAGCAATATTAGACACCGAAACAAATAACCAGCGGCGTCCTCCAGGAAAGGGTGCTAGGACCACTACTTTTCTTAATCTACGTAAACAACATATGCGACCCGATCAAACTTGGACACCCATTTCAGTTTGCAGATGACGTCAAACTGGTTTACACATTTCCTCCAGACCAACTACATATATGTTTGGGAAACATCTCTGAACACCTCTCCGCACTAAATATAGCTAGTGAGCGTGTGTCAATGAAGTTCTCCGCAGTGAAATCCCAAGTAGTTGGGTACAGATGCCGCATCCCAGAAGGCTCCATCATACTTGCCGGAAACGTGATCCCAACGTCTGATTCAGTTCGGAACTTAGGAATTAGGTACTCCAACTCTTTCCATTTCTCCAAACATGTACTTTTTCAGGTTGCGAAAGCAAGGCAGTTATACGGATATATCATCAGAATTTTCTCCCTACCTGAAGCACGCCTTGAGTCATTCAAAACAATAGTACGACCGACTCTGGAATATTGTACTATCTTTCACAGCCAATTGCGAAAGAAAGACAGAACGGCTCTGGAAAATATCCAACAATCATTTACCAAGTTGGTCATTGGGCGCTGCTCAAACCTGACTTATTATGATCGCTGTCGAAAACTCCAACTGAATCCTCTTTGGCTGAGACGCCTAAAGAACAACCTCGTTCTCTTCTACAACATCATAAACCAACGAATTTACGCAGACAGCACCGCACTTGAACTACGAAAGACTGCAGTCTACCCCACACGTAATGGCGGCTACTTGATACGCACAAACCTTTTAAGTCATAAAACTCGATCGAATTTCTTCTGGAACAAACTACCCCTACAGATACGCATGTGTACAAGTTATGTCACGTTTCGAAATTTCCTTCAGACGTTTCTCACTATATCAAATGTGTTGAAGATATTTGACTCACAGCAAACTCTAGAAACATTGACAGAATCTGGTATAAAAAACATATGAGCAGATATTCGCTTACAACTAGCTTACCCACTACATGTCATTACATACAATACCAAATCCTGTGTCTGTGCAGCCTAGTAGTCCCTCCCTTTTATTATCTACTCCTGGTGATACAAACATCCGTAAATTTTACATATGAGATACACGGGTCTAGGACCCAAGGAAAAAGAAATTGCGAGCCGAAATGCTATCAATAAAATTTTCTTTAATGTTATGAAACGTTTTCACTATATAAACGATCGCTCCCATTTATGGGGCCGTGTACCGTCTGTCGGTAAATATACAAATTTATTTAGTTATTTATTTATGTTGTTTCTCTAACCGTCCACCCTGCAGCCTATGGGGCCTGTCAAGCTTTAGCTTGTTTTACTTATGCTAAACCATTGTTTATGCTGTTGCAGTTGGTTTTTAGTAAATCCAACTTATCTGTAGTTCTGTGTATGATATCAACAGAATAATCTGCGATTAGCAGCGAACCGTGGGGTAAGTAAACGCAGTACGATAACCCTGGCTAACTTTTGTCTGGTAGCAAGCACTAGAGTTTTTGTGCCTTGTCAGCCCACGTGAAGATACGTTACGCCAGGGTGCTATAGTGGGTTTCAAACGTTACACTGAAATTAACCGTTTTGCCCAGGCGTCTAATCAGTGTGTACTTGCTAACTCTCATTCTAAGTAGGTCCGCGCAGCGTTTTATGGTTAATGCGCTAAGATGCTCCGCTAAATCAGTGAATCAGATCTTTCTTTACACCCTGTAAGCATCAATAGCAGATATTAAAGGAGCATTCTAAACAATGGTATACATGTTTAGTACGAAAAGTGAGAAAGTCATATTATGGACCTCAGAAAAAATCGACAACTTCTTCCCGCTAAACATCTTACCCTATTCTAGATTCAGGCGATGGTACCGATGACAAAGTGACGAACAGAGTGTCAAATCCACTCACCGGTTTGGTCGACTTCACTCGGGTGAGAAGGTCAGGCAAACGCGGCACTGCGGAAATGATTTCAGTGAATTTGACGCCAAGTGAGGCGACCACATCCGTGAGTTGAGGCAAAGTTGGCAGAAACACAAGCACATCGTTGTCCAAATTGAGGGCCACTTTGAAAAGTGGATTCGGATCGTTTCGGCCATCGCCGTTGATGGCTCTTTGCAATTCACTGAGTGAGTATTTAACATTTAATCTGAACGCCTCCTCACAGTAATGATCCATTCGTTCAGCATATCTGAAAGCAAGGAAAATTCAATTTATATATATGTCTGATTTGCCGACAGTTTATTTAATCCGCCATCTACTTACTGAGCTAAGGGTGCTTGTGTACTGTAACCATTGCTCTGTGGCATAACCGTGCCATTCTGTATACACACATGACTACCGTTGTGAAGGAATCATGAAACAGAAAATGAATAGGAACCGGTTGATGAGACCGAAAGAGTGCACCATATCAGGCCGAATGGAATTTTGCAAAGTTTTGGTGCACAATGTTCTTTAGGTTATCACATGCCGCAAATTAAGTCCATAAATTACCTTCCATATGAATAGGTTGGTTGGGGTAAGGTTTTTCGAAATAAGAAGGCTAGAAGGAACTTTCATATCAGCAGTCTCATTGTCCATTCTACAGGAGGTTTGTGTCCGTTTAGACAGCCTTTCGCAAACATAAGGGCGTAGCCACCACTACGAGTAGTCTATGTTGGAGCGTTTCTCCCTGGAGTGCGAAGTTGCGGGGGCTTACTAAGTAGTGTAACCTAACAGCGAAAGAACTTGACTGTCTCGGACACGGCAAGAAAACAAAAAGTTGCGTATGCATGCGGAGCGACCATTGCAAGTAATGTGTGAAACTGGCTGTATAAACGATAGCGGGTTTGGAAACCGTATGACAAATGGAGCACTCACTTACCTGGCCCAATAGAACTGAATATCTGCACTTTCCGAAACGAAAGTTTCTTTGACTTCTTTCATTTTGTGCACAATATCTTCATGCATCCCTAGCAATTTCACCTTCGTGGTCTCACGATGAGAGAACTAGAAGTAAGTGGGATAACAGATGATGTTAGCGAAACAATTCCTGTTGGAAGATCGATTTGTATGTGTAAGTGCACCAATGAGAGATTTCAAAATGATAGATATACGTAGGCCTACGTGCACTCGTCGAAGTGGTCGTCCAACAGCAAGACCGTGAGCTCTACGTATCGCAGATTCTTCGCAGCTTAGGTGAGTGTGCGTTAGTGTGTGTGTACTACTGACAAGTAGTACACACTGAAGAGGCAAATTATCTGGTTTACGGAGCCCATAACTAGCCATTGGAGACAAATACCGTTCGATAATCACTCCAGTAAAACACCAGAGGGCCTATTGCTAAGCACTAGATGTCGGGATGTGGCGCTGCCGAATCGGTTCTCCAACCAAACATGAACAGACAGCGACCAAACATGATAGATACAAGAACACTGGTCGCATCGCAACGTAGTAAACCCTTAATGCAATCAAAAGGCTTACGCTTTGCCGCCCGCTTCAGCACTCGATGCTTTGTAAATCCATACTAGACTTACCAATGCCTGCAATAAATTCTTTTGTGGTATGACCGCCAGAGATGATGCAGTTACACAGATAAGTAAACTTATCGAAAATTTCGACTGGGTGACACTGAAGTATGGTGGCGAATTGGCCTCGTTCCCTAACAGCTTCTTGGTCTCTGGGATGTAAAGAGCATACCAAACTATGTAGTGCTGCGCACAGGAGTGTTTCGTAGCGTGTGTACAAGAGAAATGGAGACAGGAAGACCACAACAGAATGCTATGACAAGGCAAAATCGAAATCAGGCTCCCGTACATGCCGCCAGAAGTCGTGGTGTTGGACATTCCGAATAGCAAGCAGGTGAGGCCAAATGAAACGAACTGGCATTCAACTTTGATAACGTCATCGTGACAAGTTAACTATGTGTATGAAGCCGTTCGAGCACAGAGTAAAATTCTGGTGCTCCCACAATTATGTAGAGCGGAAAACCGCCGCAGGGTGAGGTGTGTACGAAATTGGTAGTCTGTCACGACAACACTAGTAAAACAAGGTTAATTGGTGGACTACAGTTCGTATTGCTACCAAAGTAATTAATGTCATCATCCAGTGAGTTGTTTGTTTTGCTTTGAAAGGTAAAATGTTGGGTTGCTCTACGATCTACCACTGTTTCACTCACTTGGCAGTCATCGAATTCTGTATTTTCATACACCCTATTCGGTTCAAGACGAATGAGTAAGGTTTGAGCAATCTGCTGGCAGTTCAATTTGATGTCATCATTTGCCGCCTTGTAATCATCCACCTTGCCTTGCAATTTCGTTGCTTCCATGCGTACTTCGCCAACAAACATGTCGACCAGTCCTTTTACTGTCCAGTGGAGTTTACCGAAACCCGGGGCGATTTTTTTGTCAAGGATTTTGATGCGCTCGCGAAACATGGCCCTTTCTTCGCTATTTAGTGCGTTCATTATCCGGTTGTAATCGCGAACGACAAGTAGGACTGTTTGAATCAAGTAGCGGAGTTCTGCGTTTCGGCGGAACGCTTCTGCCGCATTTGGTGGCACTTCGACCCCTAACCGAGCCCAATAATACAGTTCGTTGAGTAGTTTGAGCAGCACCGGGTTAAAGTTGGGTTCGATGAAGCCGACTTGACTCACACTGCGGGAAAGCACAGGTGCTTCCAGAGCTTTGAGTGGATCCTGAAGGAGGGAAATAATAGCTATAGACATGAACAGCAGCTGCGAGTGAGTCGCTGCATAAATGGGTTTCAGAGACAACGTTCATGCCTAACAGGGTGGTTTTGTGAATCAAATCAGGTTTGACAGACGGCGTGAAAAAGAGTTTTAACGTATCTATCTATAGAGTCATTACAGCTAAAGTACGGATGTGAGTTTGGCAGTTTAGATACGCATCAGTGAGGTGTAGCAGCGTTACACTCCGTTTACTCACTGCATCATTCTGCTGATAGAAATGCGAATTCCCAACACCTGCCTTTTTAAATGGCATTGACATGACATCAGTAAACGCCGTAGTAACTGATGCCGACAAGTATGCATCTTATTGCCTCCATGTCAAAAGGATACTGTTAGAGGAGCAATAAAAATACTGGTATGCTTGTGTAGCCGTTCATGACTGCACAGTTTCGTTTTGCCATGTTGGTTCACTGATGTTTGTTTTAACGCCTCATTTCGCTATCCCTATTGGCTATTTGGAGTCGTTGTTTTTGCTTTCAGATCGCAGCCATACTTTTACACTATCACTTTCAATTTACCTTCTTTGTGTGCACTTGATTGGTTCCTCATCTGTTCAGTTCCTAGTGGCTTTGTGTCCACACGCTTTCCATACTCTCGTTGCCTTTCACGTGTGTGCATTCTGGTATATAACGAAATGGTTTCCCTACGTAAAAGAATCCTTGGATCTTTGTCCCTGGTGGTTCGTGTTCTCTCACTACTGTTAGTGGGCAGAAGCAATCTCGGGACTCCGACACAACAGATACTAGCGTTCCCAATCCAGTGTGTCAGTTGGTAATAACCCGCCAACTCAACGGACAAGGTGACCATGAGACGCCGCAGTTTCACCTTCGGTCAACATTTGTGGTCATTGCCTAAGGTGGTGCTGATCCACCGAGGGCAAGAGCCGACCAACCGAACGAGATGTACCGCAGACGTGCTGAACCAGTTTCCAGCAAACTACAGGGGTCCTAACCATGTGTTTTCGTGATGCTCAGAAGGGTGATACAAAGACATGGAGGTACCATAGAGATGCAGTTTGAAATCAATATCTGCAAATTCCTGTACTATAATGCAGGCGTACTATTTGGCTACACACCACGCGGCGTAGGTTATAGCCAGCAGAACGCTTACTCACCGGACTGCAACTAACGTTGCGTCTGCCTCTTTTGAGCAATGCTGGACTGATATCGGTAGCCAACGTCGGCAGTTGAGTGATCACAGTTAACCTGAGACATGGCAAGGGGCGGGGTGGGGTGGTCCTCTCAGGGCGGCATGTGAGAGGGAGCGCCATCTTTAGTACAGGCCTGTCTGTGATACGTTCCTTATCGTCCTTGCACACGTCTGTCCCGTCACACTCTCAAAACTCGTTTGTGCATAGAGCAGGGATGTGCAAAGTTTTTGCAAGGTGGGCCACATTTTGTGCGGTAAAAACATGTTGGGCCATATTCAGTTTGACAATAAGACAATGACAAAAATGCACATGTACGAAAAAATCCAAGCATGAATTTATTATTTCATAAAGCGGCCGCGGGTCAGTGGAAATGTTAATGCGGGCCGCATTTGGCGCGCAGACCGGACTTTGCACATCCCTGATATAGAGCTACCTTCGATCAGCAAGGAACCAGATAATGGTCACGGCCTTGGCAGTTCTCTCCATGGAGAGGAAAGTTGCCGATGGACTGAATTTTACTAGTGGTATCGATAAATTTGCCGTAAGTAAAGCACGAAAAGTGTGTTGTAAACTTTTTGTACAGGTGTTGTAATACGAATGTGATACTCTAAAATCAGCTCTTTGAATTTTGTTCTATGAAGCGAAATATTGAAGGGCTGATCGTGATGGTTAGGGTGTACGGATTTACAATTGAACAATGAACAATGATTTTTTACCGAATAAAAGCAACTACTTGATACGTAGGATGCTTTGGGTGAATACGATGAAATAAAAGTATAGGTGGGTCATCTACCGAGCATCTACTGGGGTGAATGCTTTGAGAAATAAAGTCAAGGGGGGTCGAAAACATTACGACCGCCCTGGCGGCAAAATCAGTTACTACGCCGCCGCGGTTAGTGGTGATATCCATAGACCGCGAGTTATGCTAACTCGCCAGTGACACCCGATTCTTATCACTCCGTTCCTAGCGCCAATTTTCAGCATGTTATTGAAGCAGGCATATAACTGGTTCTTTCCATCTTATGTGCGAAAAAATGAAGGCGGGCAGTCTTATATCTTGAAAAATTCTTTTTCCTGCACTTTTTGAATCCAGTTTCCGCAACTTGGGGCTACTGGAGTGTATCAGTGCCCGTGTGTTATGGTCGGACTGTCATGCTGAGGGGCTGCGCATGAAAAACAGTAAGCTCGAGACCATTTCACTGTAGTTAAGGAGGGTTTGGTATGCGTCAGCCACAGGCAATTGCCCTCCATCCCTCAGCATTGCTCACGATCATACATGAATTTGTTGGCCTGCGCGATGTAGAATACGTTTGAGTGTAATTCGAATAAGTGACCCTGATGATAATGCAGGTGTCTGTGGAAGGAAGCACTTGAAGCAATGACGTACTGGATCGATTGAGGCCTGGAACTCCAGTGCAGTTTTTCGGGTCATATCCTCCAAGGCTGCCAGTGTTTGAACATACTGCTGGCGATGTTCATTCATTCCGGCTGCGCTCAATGGTAGAAAGAAGGCCAGATCCAAACTCTACAACAGACAAAGTGAATCGGTATCTGACTTCGGTTACTTGAATCTCCTGCGGTAATAAGCACATAAACCCACACCATTTCTGTTGTCCTACTGCTACCAGTCATTGCATGAACATGATGGACTGAACATTTTAGGTCAGTGATAGCTTAGTATTAGAGTGGAAATAGAATAACCGCATACTCCGTCAGAATTAGCTCGGATTCTGATCGCAGTAAGCAGCTGCTAATCGAGATTACATAGACGGAGTTTGAGTGGCAGATGTGCAGGGGCGCTATTCATTGAATGATTCATCACTCCATCGATTACCTGACTCCACAGATACATTGGCCATTACCGATGCGCGATAATTGCGCGAAGAGAAAGAGTAAAACAATAAAATACATTGTTAGGCTATGGAGTACATGTAGACAAAGAGTGAAGGCACTAAGTAACTATGATGTCATGCTGTGTGTAGCATCTAAGTAGGACGGACCACGAAACAAGTAAGGGGTGGTGGAGGGGTTAACCCAACTAATTGAGGGGAAACCACGTTGATAGAACAACAAGCGCAAAGCCCTTATTAAGTGCATTCTGCACAAAACTGTTCGTTCTGTAATCTGTACCGTCCAATCAGCAGATAGAGTAGAGAATAGATACCACTACGTGAGATCACAGTCCACGATGACTCACGCTCATGCAGTGATGCGTGTAACTCAGAGTACACAGTCAAGGCCCCCACAGTGGGCCAAACCGTGCGGACCGCAACGGGGAGAAAGCCAAGGTTCAGGTTAGGGTTTGGGCAAATCTAACCCAGGGTCCGGAAAGCCCGAAGTCAGACGACACGAAAACAACTGCAGCCGAACAAAGTAACTACACACCAAAAGTTTACAGTGCAGACGAGAACGTACAGAGATAGACAGTTCCTAAAAACCCATGGCATTTGTGTTTATTTTGCATAACGCGGCATTGTTCTTGTCGCCTAACCCACGAACGTACAACACTTGTGAAACGTTCGTACGGAAATTCGAATCGGGATGCAGAGGCCATTCGGATGCCAAGCAGATTGGTAAATTGGGAACACATCGGTGTTGACATACTGTGAAGGCGAGCCGAATAACCCCCTTGGAAGAAACCTAATGTGACATCATCGGCCAGCGAAAAACCAAATCAAACAGCGCGAATGCCACGGTGATCGAACTAACCCCTGCGTGACCGTTTCTATCATTTCGATCGACCTGCCAAAATGTGGATGCCAATCTCTAACATTGCCTTCGTATTGGATTTCGCTACAGCGCAGTGGACCAGATCGATGGTGGTGTGATCGTGTCTTCAGGTATCTTCATGAGATCTATTTGCAGGAAGCATGGAACATTATCAACCCTTAACTCTCGCTTGAGTTACCACCAAATGTTGGGTCTCCAATGTGCAGACCATGTACTGTGATGTCGGTTTCGACTATAGGGGAGCGTAAACTATGCCTGTAAAAGTCGCCGGTTTAGTGCTTCCAGTGAGTCTATAAGAACAATCAGTTCTGTTGCCGTAGAGAAAGTAAGTCCGAAAATGACAAGTAAACTAGTTTCCTTTGACGTGCGTAAGACGAAGCTACGCTCAGAGCGTACGAGAAAGTAGTGCTCTCGTGCGGACCAAGATTGGGTCTCACAGACAGGGACTAGTCCAGGGTCACTATAGGGCATCCAAAAGACGAGTCCCATGTTCCAATTAAGGCACCTGTAGTTACAGTTATGCTTGAGGAATGACCTGGTCCCTGCTTGCAGGTAGATAACTCGAACACAACATGTCTGCTGCACGACGACAATGATTTGTCACAGCTGCTCCCGGAGTTTTCCGCTTAAAAAGGTACATACATTGAATACAGCAAGTTAAGAGTACTGTGTCGGTCCCACGAGCTGTTTTCATTCACACCGGTAAAGAGAACAGCAAAACAAACGATACCGGGAGCATAGTATTGGAAAACTGCGATGCGTATGGAGCACTGAGAAAAGTTGCCGTGCAAAAATAGCTAAAGGATACAGTTGTCTGAGCCAGTCAAGGCATGGAAAATAGTTAACTGCGCTGTTCAATAGTTGGTGATTAGGTGTAGCGCCAAGAGATGCAGCTACTAAACAGTCTAGTTATAGTGTTACCATCAGGCATTTGAGTAAAGAGAGATTCCAAACTTGTTCACGGGAATCAGTTACTAACGAGATAGAAACACACGTCCGTGAGAGCAGTAGACTGCCGTTTTAGCTTCGGCTTCCCTTATATGGCAGTGAAGGACGAGCCATGGTAACTTTTGGTTAACTCATCAGCCAGTGCAGTATACCGCCGTCACCTATGGCTTATTGGCCTATGTCACTGGCGTCGGGGCTGCGCACTACTGACCAATTCCAACAGGAAGTAACGGCCGCCTAGTGCTTTTCCACATGTGTGGGATTCTGCGACTGGGATTTGATTGCGATGAAAAAGTTACCCGCTATATCAGAGACCCTATTCATTTGCATTTCAAGATGCCGATCAGAATATCAAAACGGTAGGTTAAACCAGGCGCCAAGAAATGGACCGAGGAAAACAAAGGTTTGCAGACGTAAACTGTGGACAAGAAGTTGCAGTTCCACCAACAGATAGTCAGGTGTGACAGGGCAGATATGACAAAAGAAGTTGGCACCTGCGTATTAGTGGAACTGCACGCTGTAGGATGAGATTGTGAAACGATATCTTACTCAAGACAGGGGCTACACTGCCGAAATTGTGGTCCAATACAGCACCGAGATGTTCAGCTGGAGATCAGAATTACGATAATGCAATGCAAATCCACTCCTTCCCCTAAATGAACGTGTCGCGATTCGACTTCTAAAGGCGGTGAATTTGGAAACGGAGTCGTGAGTGATCACATTCGTGTGGGCAACCGATGAACTCATCTAGCAGCCAGTAGCTCATCGGATTGATTTTTGGCTGGATTTTATTCGCCTGAAGAACTTGAAAGGTAAAACGCAATTGAGCGTGAGATTTAAAGTGAGCGACAAGGAAACTTCGCAACTTACCAACATGTTTTTCTCCAGGCGGCGACGCAAGAAGCGCCAATAGATACCTTGGCCACTGTAGTGGGATTCCATAGGCATGGTTAATCCGGCATAGGTCCGTTGGGTCATCTCTTTCTTCACCAAGTTAAGACCATCAATGAAGCGAGCAACGAGTTCATGTGTCCTGTTTTCAATTGTCCTTCTAATAGCCTGTAAAAACGGCGGAAAACATTATGGGAACTTCAGTTCAGTCAACCGGAAGATTATAAGATAGACGGAACCTAAGATAATGTGTTCCCTAGCCACGGATTCTCATCCAAAATAAGAAGCAAGACAACACGCAGCGACAGAGCAATTCAACACCCCCTTTGGGACAGAACACGAGATGCATTAACTTATTTTCCAACTATGTGATTTTCCAAATGTCAAGGACAATCACTAGAGGGTAATAAAGATATCAACTCGAGTTACGATGGGTTTATCTGCTTCTCCCTATGGTGTACAAAAAGAGGCGAATCACTGCACGAATTGGTTAATTTTAAAAGGTCCCAAAGCTAATCAGTGGCGGAAAAGGCTAGGAATACTGTTAGCTAGGGGTTGTTCGAGTACTCGCCGTAGTCAACAATTTGACGGCAGGTGCTTCGTTATCAATCGTGGAGGCGCCAAAAGTACGCCTGTGTCATTGGATCTAAATGGGCTTCATGTCAGGGGTCCACCGAGACGACGTGACACCATCTTGAGCGACCGAAAATGTCGACAGCATGTATCAGCCTAACCGCGGAAGCAGCGTGAGCATTCGTAATATCGGAATGGAAATAACGCAGAGACATGAAAGCCGGTTTTGCCGGAGCCGCTTTACCTAAACCATACGTACCAATCCCGAGGTAAATCTGATGGAATATAGTGACAACCTGAAGAAACTAGAAGCAGTGGCGTAGTATTGTGGGCGAAGGGGAGATCCGCCCAGGGCGGCATTTTTAGTAACGTCCATTTTTCGATGCCAAATATAAAGGGCAAAATATCCGGATAAGCTTGATGATTTTAATGTTATTTTGTACATTTGCGCCATGTCTCATGCCTGTGCGAACGTTCTTCCCAGCGATCCCCTTATTTGTCCCATTGTGGTCACTTTCACCATGTTTGCCTCAGTGTCCCAAACGTTCATCCGTTTCATCGAAAACTAATGTGCACTTTAACTTGAGCCGAATGGGCTGCCTTCACGTGCCTATTCTGCCCTCACTCAGGGCGAAATGCTTGCCACCGCCCCGGGCGGCAAATCTACTTGGCACGTCACTGACTACAGGGCACATATAATTTCGCCTGCCCCAATTGGTCTTCCACGGCTATTCATTTCCATCGTTACGCTGGTCCCTCTTAACGAGTCACCTGATTGTGCAATACGTTAATAGGATCAAATGCACAGTCAACAGCAAAACTTGGAGTAAACAAAATGAGTTGGTTTGGACTAATCGCATACACATGCGGCTGCGTGAAAAGATGCATACTGAATAACATGCTCGACGGAAGTCTTTCGTCAACCAGTTGGTTGCATAAAACATTCAAAACATTATCCGCATAAAAAGTGCTGATAACCGCACGCCTGATCTAGTGCCCTTGCTTCATCATCATATCATCAGTGCTCACAGACACACAGAACTCTCAGACTTTGTGGTCAGGAAAATCTGTGAGGAGTACGACAATTCAGATTAAGATTTTAGCCCGTTAAGGTAAAAGACTGTTGTAAATAGCTATTGAAAAGAAAGGCTATGTGATCTTCGCACAATACCAGATAAGGACTAGTTTAGTACTTAAGGCCAGTTGCTCATTTACAGAACGGTGCTAAATATGTCCGGTACCAAAATTTTGCGCCGCCCTAACATTTTGGCTGTTCTCTCTCGCACAATATAGTGAGGTATATTCAGTTCCTGATAAATACTGTGTTGACCAACCCAAACCTTATATTCTATGACAAATGTGTCCTGATTCCAACTCTTCATATAAAGAAGGCGGGAAATGCAATTCGATCCTAAGACGCGGATATTGCTGACTGATGCCTTCACTCTTAAACCACCAAGCTCATCTTTGTGTTGCTTTGGAGTATTTGTTGTGTAAACTGACTGAAATGCAAGCTTACTTGTGATCGTGATTTTCTTTAAATTGAATCGCAGTTAGACTGGTTATTAGAAGAGTGTTAGGAGTGGACAACTACAACCGTAGACTAAAGGAACCATTTTCTTGGATTGTACAGCAGTAAGCAGCAAGGACTTACCTCACGTGTTTGTAAATGAGCAAAAACATCCAATATTTCTACACCCTGTTGAATGGTGGTTACTGTCTCGAACGCCGTGTTGATGGCATTCTGCATCATCACCTCTAGATCCTTTATCCCCGCTCGAAAACGGTTATAATCGTCATGCCATGAGGTTGCTTTCACATCAAGTATAGCTGCACGCTTGTCGTACAGATTGCGCATAAGCTTGCCAAACATTTGCTCGATTGTGCTGAGGAGAACTTCCAATTCTGGTCCTCTTGCACCTTGGAATAGCGGCATGGGTGTCTTGGTGCCCTCCTCATATCGTCCGAAGTTCTTCTGGCATTCACAAATCTGAGTACAATTATGGTATGTGACATGGGGATGCATATTAGCATAGGGAGCATACATATGGAAGAACAATGCAGGTTGCGAAAACAGCCATAGGCAAAAATAACTTTATAGAAAACCTCGTTATTGATTGTTTGCGACGCGGTTTTCTTCACTTGTATGCAAGCTTCAGGTAAGGATAGGGGGTCCAAAACGCGAACTGATGACTGGACGACCGCTTGCACGGTTCAAGCACACAAATAGTAGCCAAATTTTGATCTTATCAAGTAGCAAAACTTGGATAAAGCTGGGACACGGAGTGAAGATTAATGCATCCATGGCTGTAATTCCGGGTTTCCTCCGAGTACACACTTTATGAAGCTACAGCGTCTTGCGCCTAATTCGGTATTTCTTAGTGGGAATAAGTAAGATGACTAGAGTTACGTGCCATTTCGTCCATCACTTGCACTATGTTCGGCTCTATCGGTGTTGAAGTCTCAGCCAATAGTTAGCACATACTGATCATGGAACATGGGAAATCAAAAGGAGAAGATTGGGTTCAGTTACCAGCATCAATTTTGTCTCGCCAAGGCCTGTTACTAAGACTTGTGGGCGTTTGCAGGCTGAGAGTGGCTCCTTGGGACTGAAAACTCTTGAGCAAGTCTTCATGTCAGATTCGTGCAAATTGAGTCCCGGTTTGTAATACTTAATGACCGACGCAGTCCGTGCGGAACGATTTCACGAATAACCGCCTTAGTGTAACTAAATGGAGAAGTGCTCGACAGACAGCCTCTCTTGATAATATGACACCAGACTGTTGACATCGGGTTGCCAACAAACAAACTAACCCAGCCATAGAGAACGATGCAAGTTCACGATCGTGAGCATCGTGGGTGTTTGGAACCTCAATGACAGTGAGTGAGATTGGCCATCCGTGTTCATTATGGGGATACCTTAAAATCTCACATTGTCCCACGATTCCAAGCATTTAAATACACTCTTGCGGGCTCCAAATAAAACAAAGTAAAAGTGTCACTATATTTGCTTATCGATCGTTACTGAAACCGCCTGTGGATCAGTGACTTACCTCCAACAAATCCCGACACCTTTGAATGAACGCATCAATTTGTGCGAATATACTATTCTTTTGAGCATCCCATGGCTTGGTTGAATGGTTCTCATGCATTTGCTGCAAGCGGTCATAGATCACTTTATACTCTTCACAACACGTAATGCAGTGTTGCAAGTTGATGGAACTGGAAGTCACTTTTCCATCAAAGATATCATCAAGAGAGATGACACTGCAACATCGATTGATGATTTCGTTAGACAATTTCCGAAACATCCCAGTGATGATTTCCTTTGTATTATAATGTTCTGAGTTGACCCAAACCATTCGAATTCCATTGATAAGCCTGGGAAGCTTGGACGGAATTGCTTTCGGCGTTGAGTCCGACAGTTGGTGACACATCTCTTTCAAAACATTCAGAAATTTCAGGTTACTCTGCGCTTGATGAGTGTTAAATTTGATTTCATCAGCCAGACGTACGAATGCGGCTATGTAGGAAGATTTGGCAGCCGTCAGAATGTCGGTTATGTGTTTTACCTGAGGTTTATCTAGTTGTCTACTTATGCCTGTCAGGTCTTCACAACGATTTCGCCAAAATTCTATCTCATCCAAAGGTCCAGTGCCTTCGACTTCATCCGTAGTGTTTTGTGAATTAAGAACCGCTTTGATCTGCCTGGTCCAGTGAATAACAATCATTTCGAACCGATTGACGGCGTCTTTATTTTTCGCGGCCACATCAGCGGAATCGTCAAAGTTCTCTGTAGGCATGTACAGTACCGTTTTATTATCCAACTTCCAACGCGCGTCAGTTAATGCAGACATGAAACGTTGCAGTTGCAACGCAAAGTCGTTTTTAATACTATCCGGCCAAGTTTTATTTGCGAAGAATGCTGGTGCAAAAATAGTGGACATAATGCGCAAAAGTGACTCGATTCCGCGACCCACCACACTACCGTATTGGACGCGATCACCAAAATTTTCCGCCGTGACCACAGCTCCCTGTGGATCGGGTGTCTGAATGAAATAATTCAGTTCCGAATACCAGTGGCGAGGTACTTCAAATTCCATGCGGAGTTCGTTCTTGCGATTCATGTAGAAAAACATATGCAATTGGTTGCCGGTGACGAAATCATTTTCGATCATATCGCTGAACTCTTCAGACCAATGCTTCTCGGGATCATAACCGGTGAGGTATATGCGATCGCGAACCAGTAGGGGCACAGGGACAGAAAACTGTGTTAAACCAGGCTTTGGAGCGTCATTTATATTTTCCAGGTATTCAGCACCCTCCACGTCTGCACTGGTGGTAAACCCGAGAAATTCATCATCAGGGTCCAGTATTATCTCTTTTTTCAACTCCTCGGCACTTGTCTCACGGGTATCCTCTTCAGCACCACTTGGACCCGGTCGAATTGAGACCTCGTCGACATTGTTCTGGTTGGAACTGGCCAGTTTGCCTAGTGAACATAAGCAGAATACAGTGTAAACTGGTCTAGGTGTAGAACATTAATTTGTACTATCGTATGGATGTCAGATAGCAGCAGAAGTGTTCAGGCTTCATGATGAAGTCATTCCCATCAGCCAGTCTGTTCGTGACTTAGGTTTAAGATATTCTAGTTCGTTAAACTTTAGCGAACATACAAATCATATAGTGAAAAAGGCTAAGCAGTCGGTCGGGCTCATATGCCACCTGCTAACCTTGAAAGAAACCAGACTAATTGCTTTCAAAATCAGTATCTGGCCTTTGCTTGAATATTGTTGTGCTGTGTTCAGTAACTTGCGAAAGGCTGACTTGAGAGCCATTGAAAACGTCCAACGCGCCTTTACGAAGCGCATATTTGGCTGTTCAACCGCTCTTTCATACCGAGATAGGTGCAAGCAATTGAATCTTGAACCTCTGTGGTTATGAAGAATGCAACTAAATCTGTGCTTTCTCCACAAACTCGTGTGGCGGAAAGCATATATTGGAACCTATCAATTGCACTTTCGGGAAAACACCACTTATGAACTGCGAGATAAAGAATGCATATTCTATTTACCTAACTTCAAGAGCAGTCTAAGGAGAAATTTCTATCTTCTTAGGTATGGCTCCATTTGGAATAAGCTGCCAAAAGAGATTAGATGTATTGAACATTTCTGCATGTTCAAGAAAATGATAAAGGCTTATCTGTCAACGGACAGAGCGAAATGGATCTTAAACATTCAATTTGATGATGAAAAACTGTATGAAGAAGGGCCGGATCATGTATGATACCGGAGAACATCAACTCTACTGCACCAGAGAAAACTTGATCAGCTAGGATGAGCTGATACAAACCGCTTCTTATGCTATTCCTTAACGCTACCATCCATGCGGTTTTACTCCCTTTAAGCTTAATTCATATCAACTGTCTTCTGTTTAAAACCGAGAGCCAAATTATTTACTGGTGTGACGTCAGGAGCTATTTTCGTAATTTTCCCCACAAATTGATTAATTCGTAATATTGTGCTGCGATCCCTTTCGCTACATTTGTTCTCCAGTGCTAATCATTTCCCCCTCTTTTCGGAAACTAACAGTCCAGAAACATATACTTGAATTCAGGGATGGCAATAACTGATTCCCTACGCGACTTTTGCCTATGGACAACTCGTACAGTCATCTGTCTCCGGCTGTCACGCTACACAATTTATCGTATGATCGGCTCGATCGATTTCTACGCCGATGTACAAAACATACCTGCCTATTTTTTTACATTAACGATATAGTACCTCTTTCACATAATTCTTCTTTTCTATATTCTTCCTTATTTCATAGTTGGCCACGACTTGGCTGATCTCCTGTGGTGACGGATTACAGCTTCCAGATTATAAAAGACGTTACCTATGCAAGGCAAATTGCCACCAACTGACTGGCGCATAAAAAAGTGCCATAATAGAATGATCCGCATGACGGACTGGGCTGAGCCTTCATGGCCCATAATACATGTACAAAAACAGCTCTAAAATGAACAAAACATATGATATACAGGTGATGGCTCATATGCTACTATGCCACACCGGCACACGGCCAGTTATTGCATGGAAGTGCGAGCGAAACCTTTCGAGGGAATACCTTGCATGGAAGCAGGTCCCCTGGGGATGGTTCCACGAGTGGCCGTATTACTTTAACTGGACAACTGTTTAAATTTGCTTATGTTATTGTTCCTGCTTTTTATTTTCTTTAATGCCTTAATCCTGCCAATTAGTTTAGTACCTGTTTTTGGATCCATTGTAAAAAGCGTGAACAAATTGATTATTTTTTTGCGATCCTGTTGTACACATTGATCAGACCACTTAGTTGGACTGCACCTCGAAACACCGAGGAATATAACACTTATCATTTATCATTTATCAATAAACTAGTTCAGGAATACCGCTACCAACATTGGGAGAAATGCATATAAGTTTCTTTTCACGCATCAGTAATGTACGGTTGTTATACGACATAAGTGGGGAATCGCACAGGATGAGACGGCAGTTTATCTGTTTTGTAGGCAGATAGAGTCAAGGAACCACACACCTGTGCCCCTTCTGATGCGATGAATGTGATGCAGACCATCTGCAACGAGGGTACCCTAATGGGCGACTCGCCTTTAAGTTTGACAGAGCAAATCCACTTAGTTAGCATTGAATGCTTATGTGAAGTAAAATCATAGAAATTCAACGTATTGCAAAGAGGGATGTGGATAGTTCATAGCAAATTCGTCACACCCTTGCCCAGTTAAAGAAACGCTAGAATACTATTGTTTAATTGTTGCATCAATTTACCCTTTCGGGACTGGTCTGCAATGGATTAAAATTCGTGTCCCTTCTGTCCCAATCGATAGTGAAGGCCAATGAGCCACGGGACAGGGCAGTCCTTTGCATGACCAAGCTATTGGTTACAAGGTGACGCGATCAAGTGTTCCCTGCGACACGTGTTTCCAACGTTAGGGAACAGAGTCCGACCCTACTGTTGAGCTGTCCTCGTCAGACAGCATTATAAGCTACCTTGGGGAAGTACCGGTTGTGAACGACACCATATCACATCTAGTAACTGAGTCACGATGGTCCTCGCCTTTCGTCGCAGCCCAGTCGTCGTAACCGCGGACTAATAACAGTCGGTTGACGATTCTAGTCCCACAGGGGCCAGATGGAATGCGCACTGCTGATGATTTCCGAAAGGATGAAGCAGCCGTACAGTACTTTCCTGGCGCGTAATTGCTGTCTGACTTCGCCTAGGTGTGATGAACTTCCACGTACACCAAGTACAGATTTCACAAGTGGTTTGACTCTGTTCATGTCACGCAGTAACCTGCTTCCGAGCCTAAATGAATTCAAGCTAATTTACTATACACACATGAATGCAGGGCTGATTGCCTGAACAATTTCATGCTGCCGAACGGAGGGTGTGCATAATTTATTAGAATAGCATATAAGTTTGGAATAGGAACCAGTGCACGTCCAACTTTCTCTGGTGCGTGAGGACGAGAGTAACACGGAATATGGACGACAAGAGTATTTGACCAATGTCTATTATCTACGGCTCCCTGATAGACTGGCTACTGCGAGTAAGTACAAACGAGATGACTGGGACCACAAGTCCAAAATTGCACTCTGTAAACTGTTTGCGGAAGATGAAGTTTCGCAGCTTGGTGGGATATTGTTAGGTGAGACGAATATACGTGAGTTCGTTGAGGTGAAGACAGATCGGAATTAAGCTGGGACACAATTACTCCTGATGTGGCGGAGACTAAGCTATGGCAGCAGTTACGTACACCAGACACGTGCCTTGTAGGTGATCGATTCCTGCAGTCGATTTTCTGGGACATCAGTCTCTAGAATATGGTACTTTTATGAGCCGTACCAGTGACAAGGAGCTTGCAGTACTGCTGCTTCGCCATAACTTGGGAAATAAGACCTAGTAATAAAAAATGACGAGTAAACGAGTAAATAATGCGTGGCCGTAACATATTGAGCAAAGTTAACGGTCACTGTGTTCGCCCGTTGCGGGCACCCGGTTTGTGGAAGTTGTGCAATGATGAGTAGGTATTTGAGCTGAGATGTGGAAAAATGATTTATGTTTGTAATACACATAGTGCACCGATTCGTTTACATTGCGATCCCTGAGGTAAGTGGACTTCTTACCCCTTGGCCGATAGTCCCTTTACGTGTGCCAGTTTGCATGTTATGCATAACGGATCAAACAGTGCTGTCACTAGTGATTTCGTTTACTACACTTTACTTTAATGACGCTCAGTAATACAACGAGTAATTCGGCCGATGAACTGCTCATTCACTAGGCAATTATTTTAACATCGAATCATCTATTTAGCTTGTGAATCAGTTCATCAAAGGTTTTAACAAGCACTCCAACACTTACACATGTCATTGATTAGCTGAGAAACCGATGTGACTGCGAAATGACAAACCAAAAACCAAAGACTAGTAGGAAAATTTGTCTTGTATCAAGGAGCCTCGCCGTAACTGGACTCAGTAAGGAAGCCATTACACATTCAAGTAACTGTTGGACAACCGTTATGTCTTGGACTCGTCAGTGGGGTGCATCCCTCGAATTCCGCCAGTCACAGATCCATGACCTAACTGTCACGAGTCGGCGACTTATGCCTTTGTGGCATGGGTGACGATGGTGGACCGCCTTGACTGACATGTAACTGCGATACAGCTAGGCTCAGACCCCACTGTCATGAATATTTGACCGTGAAGAGGTCACCGCTGGCTCTTTCTTTGTAAGCCATCGCCAATCATGGTGACATGCTAAGCTGCTAAGGCGGTTACAGATTTTTGGTAAGTAGCAGGGGGTTTACTCGTGTTTTTGAGAAGCTCCGTCGCAGTTACGGATGAGACCCAACATGATGAAACGGTGGTCTAGCGCTTTTCTGGAATTATTATGG